ACAGCCACTGGGTCTAGTGCAGTACTATAGCACGATGTGTGTCTCTATAATATCCTACAGCCACTGGGTCTAGTGCAGTACTATAGCACGATGTGTGTCTCTATAATATCCTACAGCCACTGGGTCTAGTGCAGTACTATAGCACGATGTGTGTCTCTATAATATCCTACAGCCACTGGGTCTAATGCAGTACTATAGCACGACGTGTGTCTCTATAATATCCTACAGCCACTGGGTCTAATGCAGTACTATAGCACGACGTGTGTCTCTATAATATCCTACAGCCACTGGGTCTAGTGCAGTACTATAGCACGACGTGTGTCTCTATAATATCCTACAGCCACTGGGTCTAGTGCAGTACTATAGCACGATGTGTGTCTCTATAATATCCTACAGCCACTGGGTCTAGTGCAGTACTATAGCACGACGTGTGTCTCTATAATATCCTACAGCCACTGGGTCTAGTGCAGTACTATAGCACGATGTGTGTCTCTATAATATCCTACAGCCACTGGGTCTAGTGCAGTACTATAGCACGATGTGTGTCTCTATAATATCCTACAGCCACTGGGTCTAGTGCAGTACTATAGCACGACGTGTGTCTCTATAATATCCTACAGCCACTGGGTCTAATGCAGTACTATAGCACGATGTGTGTCTCTATAATATCCTACAGCCACTGGGTCTAATGCAGTACTATAGCACGATGTGTGTCTCTATAATATCCTACAGCCACTGGGTCTAATGCAGTACTATAGCACGATGTGTGTCTCTATAATATCCTACAGCCACTGGGTCTAGTGCAGTACTATAGCACGATGTGTGTCTCTATAATATCCTACAGCCACTGGGTCTAGTGCAGTACTATAGCACGATGTGTGTCTCTATAATATCCTACAGCCACTGGGTCTAGTGCAGTACTATAGCACGATGTGTGTCTCTATAATATCCTACAGCCACTGGGTCTAGTGCAGTACTATAGCACGATGTGTGTCTCTATAATATCCTACAGCCACTGGGTCTAATGCAGTACTATAGCACGATGTGTGTCTCTATAATATCCTACAGCCACTGGGTCTAATGCAGTACTATAGCACGATGTGTGTCTCTATAATATCCTACAGCCACTGGGTCTAATGCAGTACTATAGCACGATGTGTGTCTCTATAATATCCTACAGCCACTGGGTCTAATGCAGTACTATAGCACGATGTGTGTCTCTATAATATCCTACAGCCACTGGGTCTAGTGCAGTACTATAGCACGATGTGTGTCTCTATAATATCCTACAGCCACTGGGTCTAATGCAGTACTATAGCACGATGTGTGTCTCTATAATATCCTACAGCCACTGGGTCTAATGCAGTACTATAGCACGACGTGTGTCTCTATAATATCCTACAGCCACTGGGTCTAATGCAGTACTATAGCACGATGTGTGTCTCTATAATATCCTACAGCCACTGGGTCTAATGCAGTACTATAGCACGACGTGTGTCTCTATAATATCCTACAGCCACTGGGTCTAATGCAGTACTATAGCACGATGTGTGTCTCTATAATATCCTACAGCCACTGGGTCTAATGCAGTACTATAGCACGATGTGTGTCTCTATAATATCCTACAGCCACTGGGTCTAATGCAGTACTATAGCACGATGTGTGTCTCTATAATATCCTACAGCCACTGGGTCTAATGCAGTACTATAGCACGATGTGTGTCTCTATAATATCCTACAGCCACTGGGTCTAATGCAGTACTATAGCACGATGTGTGTCTCTATAATATCCTACAGCCACTGGGTCTAATGCAGTACTATAGCACGATGTGTGTCTCTATAATATCCTACAGCCACTGGGTCTAATGCAGTACTATAGCACGATGTGTGTCTCTATAATATCCTACAGCCACTGGGTCTAATGCAGTACTATAGCACGATGTGTGTCTCTATAATATCCTACAGCCACTGGGTCTAATGCAGTACTATAGCACGATGTGTGTCTCTATAATATCCTACAGCCACTGGGTCTAATGCAGTACTATAGCACGATGTGTGTCTCTATAATATCCTACAGCCACTGGGTCTAATGCAGTACTATAGCACGATGTGTGTCTCTATAATATCCTACAGCCACTGGGTCTAATGCAGTACTATAGCACGATGTGTGTCTCTATAATATCCTACAGCCACTGGGTCTAATGCAGTACTATAGCACGATGTGTGTCTCTATAATATCCTACAGCCACTGGGTCTAATGCAGTACTATAGCACGATGTGTGTCTCTATAATATCCTACAGCCACTGGGTCTAATGCAGTACTATAGCACGATGTGTGTCTCTATAATATCCTACAGCCACTGGGTCTAATGCAGTACTATAGCACGATGTGTGTCTCTATAATATCCTACAGCCACTGGGTCTAATGCAGTACTATAGCACGATGTGTGTCTCTATAATATCCTACAGCCACTGGGTCTAATGCAGTACTATAGCACGACGTGTGTCTCTATAATATCCTACAGCCACTGGGTCTAATGCAGTACTATAGCACGATGTGTGTCTCTATAATATCCTACAGCCACTGGGTCTAATGCAGTACTATAGCACGATGTGTGTCTCTATAATATCCTACAGCCACTGGGTCTAATGCAGTACTATAGCACGATGTGTGTCTCTATAATATCCTACAGCCACTGGGTCTAATGCAGTACTATAGCACGATGTGTGTCTCTATAATATCCTACAGCCACTGGGTCTAGTGCAGTACTATAGCACGATGTGTGTCTCTATAATATCCTACAGCCACTGGGTCTAATGCAGTACTATAGCACGATGTGTGTCTCTATAATATCCTACAGCCACTGGGTCTAATGCAGTACTATAGCACGACGTGTGTCTCTATAATATCCTACAGCCACTGGGTCTAATGCAGTACTATAGCACGATGTGTGTCTCTATAATATCCTACAGCCACTGGGTCTAATGCAGTACTATAGCACGATGTGTGTCTCTATAATATCCTACAGCCACTGGGTCTAATGCAGTACTATAGCACGATGTGTGTCTCTATAATATCCTACAGCCACTGGGTCTAATGCAGTACTATAGCACGATGTGTGTCTCTATAATATCCTACAGCCACTGGGTCTAATGCAGTACTATAGCACGATGTGTGTCTCTATAATATCCTACAGCCACTGGGTCTAATGCAGTACTATAGCACGATGTGTGTCTCTATAATATCCTACAGCCACTGGGTCTAATGCAGTACTATAGCACGATGTGTGTCTCTATAATATCCTACAGCCACTGGGTCTAGTGCAGTACTATAGCACGATGTGTGTCTCTATAATATCCTACAGCCACTGGGTCTAATGCAGTACTATAGCACGATGTGTGTCTCTATAATATCCTACAGCCACTGGGTCTAATGCAGTACTATAGCACGATGTGTGTCTCTATAATATCCTACAGCCACTGGGTCTAGTGCAGTACTATAGCACGATGTGTGTCTCTATAATATCCTACAGCCACTGGGTCTAATGCAGTACTATAGCACGATGTGTGTCTCTATAATATCCTACAGCCACTGGGTCTAATGCAGTACTATAGCACGATGTGTGTCTCTATAATATCCTACAGCCACTGGGTCTAATGCAGTACTATAGCACGATGTGTGTCTCTATAATATCCTACAGCCACTGGGTCTAATGCAGTACTATAGCACGATGTGTGTCTCTATAATATCCTACAGCCACTGGGTCTAATGCAGTACTATAGCACGATGTGTGTCTCTATAATATCCTACAGCCACTGGGTCTAATGCAGTACTATAGCACGATGTGTGTCTCTATAATATCCTACAGCCACTGGGTCTAATGCAGTACTATAGCACGATGTGTGTCTCTATAATATCCTACAGCCACTGGGTCTAATGCAGTACTATAGCACGATGTGTGTCTCTATAATATCCTACAGCCACTGGGTCTAATGCAGTACTATAGCACGATGTGTGTCTCTATAATATCCTACAGCCACTGGGTCTAATGCAGTACTATAGCACGATGTGTGTCTCTATAATATCCTACAGCCACTGGGTCTAATGCAGTACTATAGCACGATGTGTGTCTCTATAATATCCTACAGCCACTGGGTCTAATGCAGTACTATAGCACGATGTGTGTCTCTATAATATCCTACAGCCACTGGGTCTAATGCAGTACTATAGCACGATGTGTGTCTCTATAATATCCTACAGCCACTGGGTCTAATGCAGTACTATAGCACGATGTGTGTCTCTATAATATCCTACAGCCACTGGGTCTAGTGCAGTACTATAGCACGATGTGTGTCTCTATAATATCCTACAGCCACTGGGTCTAATGCAGTACTATAGCACGATGTGTGTCTCTATAATATCCTACAGCCACTGGGTCTAATGCAGTACTATAGCACGATGTGTGTCTCTATAATATCCTACAGCCACTGGGTCTAATGCAGTACTATAGCACGATGTGTGTCTCTATAATATCCTACAGCCACTGGGTCTAATGCAGTACTATAGCACGATGTGTGTCTCTATAATATCCTACAGCCACTGGGTCTAATGCAGTACTATAGCACGATGTGTGTCTCTATAATATCCTACAGCCACTGGGTCTAATGCAGTACTATAGCACGATGTGTGTCTCTATAATATCCTACAGCCACTGGGTCTAATGCAGTACTATAGCACGATGTGTGTCTCTATAATATCCTACAGCCACTGGGTCTAATGCAGTACTATAGCACGACGTGTGTCTCTATAATATCCTACAGCCACTGGGTCTAATGCAGTACTATAGCACGATGTGTGTCTCTATAATATCCTACAGCCACTGGGTCTAATGCAGTACTATAGCACGATGTGTGTCTCTATAATATCCTACAGCCACTGGGTCTAATGCAGTACTATAGCACGATGTGTGTCTCTATAATATCCTACAGCCACTGGGTCTAATGCAGTACCTCAAGTCCAATGAGAAAGTTCCGGAAGAGGCAGACCGCATGCATGTCAGAGACAACCTCAAGGCCGTACAGGTACACAGTGCAATATCCCCTTCTGTCGTCTTCGTTCATTCATTCTCGGTTAGCCACTTTCTATTGTAGCAATTTCTCACCTACTCTGTCGCTCTCTGGCACGCCACAGCCATCCATCTTGGTTGGTAATGGTGGTGAAACATGTGCAGTGAAACCCCTGAAAAGGTCCCTCTGAAAAATAGTTATGCCTGCCACTTACTAAACTCATACATTCTTATAATTATTGAAATAAGGGACACACTGAATTAAAGGACGCGTGTCCCCAAGTGTCCTTATTAAGCAGGTTCCCCCTGTATAGGTCGTTAGGGTGGTAGGTAGTTTTGTTTAAAGGAAACTTCTCAGTACATATGGCTACTTTAGAAATGTAACTAAAGATAGCAATAGGCCAAGTGCAAAAACCCATTTTGTTTTTTGCTTTTAGTTACAGTCCTCTAATTTAGCCCTACTTACATACGGCACATGCCTCTAACCGTCCCCATCTCTCCCTCCGCTCCTCTTGGCCCCAGACCCTGTCCAAGCGAAGATTCACAAACTGGAGTTGACACTCATCCACTGGCGAACCAGACTTCGCTCCAAGCCACAGAGAGACGCAACTGCCCAGCGACCTGTGACCCTGAGGAAGAGACGACAGCAGATCAAGACGGAAGATAACTGGCCCATATTCTACTACAGTTCAACAGGACGCACTCACTTGTCTACCCTCATCTGGAACTACAAGTTTCTACAATGTTTTAACAACTCACCTACATCTTTTACAAAATCCATTGATTGTGTTTGATTTTTGGTAAGGTTTTATTTGTAGTAGTTGGTATGAAACGCTGTCGTCAAAAATGCAGTAGATTCATCTTACTCCATCACCATACCACATAGCAGTACAATTACTATGTAACTGTATTGTGACTGCGTGGGCGGATCAAAGTTGCCGCGCATACTTTGATTTTACGTATTGTAGTCGCATTCATATGCCAATTGAACGTTCAATACAAAAATATCATCAGCATCATACACATAGTGTAGACAAAACTGTTCTGTAGAGGCTGTAGAGGCGAGGGTGACGTTCTGTAGAGGCTGTAGACGGCGAGGGTGGCTGAGGCGACCACACACCCCTCCTTCATGCTGCCAGTGGCAAGCGAGACGGTGGCCGCGCACACCGACGGTCAAATGGCCCAGCGACCTATGAAACGAGTTTCTCTGAGGAAGAAGAGCACCATCACGACCTTGTTCGATTACGGTAGCCTCGAGAACAGAGAACTCGCTCTAGAAGCCAGCAAGTGCGCACGTGCGCATGGGTAGTAGGCTACGCATTGTATTTCTCTCGCTGGAGGTCGACGACTGCTACAAAGTCCAATAAAACATATAATGTGCGTCCTATCGTTCTATACATGACTAGAAAGTCGACCACACCCCCGTTCCCATAAATCACATATGAACTCTAAACGCACATTATCTCTACTAAAGCACTCCTTATACATTCACTATGGCACTACAAGCGTGCCATACCCACAGCTACTGGTTGGTAATTTCTTCACGAAATGTTGCTTTTGTGTGATTTGAGTGGTTTTTATTGTCGTTACCATACCCCTCGTTTCCTCCTCCCTCCCCTTCACCCCTCTCCTCCCCTCTCCCTACTCCTCCCCTCTCCCCTCTCCCCTCTCTCCTCTCCCCTCTCTCTCCCTCTCCCCCTCTCCCTCTCTCTCTCCTCGCCCTCTCTCCCCTCTCGTCTCCCCCTCTCTCCCCTCTCCCCTCTCCCATCTCCCTCTCTTCCAGGCTACCCTAAGAGAGCTCACCAACAACGTCCAGTCCAATCGCATCATCTAGTTCTCCCCAGGGGCCTCGGTGAGTCGTACCATGGAAACATCACCACGGTGATGTTACATAACCACCCCATGTCCAGGTTGTTACTGAACCTCCAACACCCTCAGTGCAGGCGAGAACAAGCTGAGCTAGGAATACCAGCTGAGATAGGTCTGGCCCCTCCCCTCTTTCCCTTCCTCATCCTCCCTCCCTGCGTATATACCTCACTTTTTAATTTGCCAGCAAAGTCAGCCTAACTAGTCGTCTGGATGCCTGATGACGGGCACTCCTATACCGTAATATGCCTTAACGTCATTCTAGCATACCCACATAATGAACGCTCGCACTCACTCGCCAATATGTGTTCCTCCTTCGTCTAGTATACATTTCCCTCCCCCACCCCACCCCAGGACTCTGGAGACCTGGAGGAGCTGTACATCAACGACAACCCCAACCTGCAGTCCCTGCCCTATGACTGGCCCTCTGCAAGAAGCTTGCCCTCATGAGTGTGGGAGGTGCTGTCCGCTCACAAGACTCCCTCCACACGTCGTCGATGGGGGACCCTCCTCAATTATCAGGTACTTTATCGCCTCAGTTTCTGTGTTAATGAAGAACACACAATACTGCATATACATAGGTTTGTTGCAGTATGGCTACTATATGCCTGGACACTGCCTGGTGCATTCTTATTGGCTGTTGCACGTCAAATATACTAAAAAAGACGCTCCAATAAAGGACATCTCTATAGGGACACTCGTTCTGGCCTCGTGTATATACATTAGTGCATCTCTGGGAATTCTTCCAAAAAAGGACGGCCCTCTGAATAAACAATGGCCTGAAGTTGGTATTCATAAACTACATTTAGGGTGTTTAGCCTAGTTGAGTTATAATTATTGAGCTTGCATGGAAGTTAACCCTTTCTTTTACCATCTGCTCTCTCCTTCCTCTCTTACAGCATCTCAAGTACCAGGGTCCTTATCGTGGCCTACACTGATTTGAACTTTGCACCCTGTTGCCATGCCTACTACTGTGTGCATCACAACAACACGAAATGATATTATTTTGTTATTGAGTTTGTAACTATCTATTCTGCACCCTTTTGTTTAGTTAGTTTTTCACCGTCAAATAGTACTTTTTGTACCGCTGGTGTGCGATTCAATCATGTAACATGTCCATTTGTTAGATACATACATGATTATGATCGATTTCTTGTTTACTGCGCATGCCTATGGATAGGATGCTGTGTATTGTATATAACTCCTGCTACATATTATTGTTGACACTTTACCTAAACACCAGTGGGGTCCACACTCCACTCTTTGGACTTATTCTTTGGGCCAATAATAGTTCAGTGTAACGTAAAGAGAATAGTTCTAACCATTAAGCGTAATGATGACGTAATATTCGCAAAGAGCTTCATGATTAATTCATTTTTAAGGGCTGGGGAATGAGTTATGCACACAGGGGAGAACCACAGAAACGACAATCGACTTTATGCGTCATTCCACTTAGTTATTGATTTTCTCGACTCCTTTTTTTCACTCTGCAGCAGCAGTTCTCGCAGCTCTCTATCCTTGCAAGAATACAATATCATCTGCTTGGTCGTGATACAACCCGTCAGCAGGGGGGCCGGGGACGACGAAGTTGACTGTTTAGTACGCATGCGCATGGGCTGAGGCTGGTCCAAGAGTTTGTGCGAGTGTCTTGACCTTCGTACCTTCAAGGTTTCACGTGAGTGTAGAAGAGATTCATGGACGTTCCTCTACGACGAAGGGTGTTCTTGACTGTCAAGCCATAGCCTAGCTAGCTGCGAGTAAACTGAGCTGATAAGCTTTCATCTAGTGGCTTCCCTGGCCTCCTCGCGCAGGTAGAGAGTGTGTGGAGGACGGAGGAGCGGGGAATGGCGCAGGGGAACGAAGACGTGGCAAAGTTCTACTGTACCAAGCACTCGTGGAGGGGCAAGTGAGTCTGGCGAGTAGGGGGTGGGTGGCTGCTGGGGCAGCTGCGTGCGCGCAGGAGGCTCGCTGAGGGCCGGGGAGAGAGTTGGGGGGAGGGAGAGGGGAGGGGCAAAGTGGATTAGTGCAGTTGTGTGGGTGTGCGTGCATGTGATAGTGTCTGCGAGCAGCGGATTAGAGACAGACAGCACAACCACTGTACATATGTCTACGATGCATACACACAGACGATGTGTGTGTGTCTAAAACCAGTAATCAACCCACTTTTCCCTCGCTAATGTAAGGGGGAGAGAAGCAATCACTTCTCCTTGAGAGCCTCTTGACGTTTAGTGAACCTTTCATTGCACACAGGACAGGGCTTTCGCCACCTCTCTTTGTCATAAATATCCATTTGTCATTATAAATGAAGGAGTGATATATTTAGAGTGAGCTAGGTTCGAATTGACCAATCAGACTGCCAAAAAGGCCGATGTTTACAGTTTCCTGTAGTAAACCTCGACGGCTGGCCCTCAGGGCACCACAATGGTGGGACTCTTGGCTTTCTACTGCACATATATAGTTACCTTGAACTAACTAACTAACTTATATGTACATCATCTCCCTTGACCTTCTTGATCTGGTGTGTCTGTGCTATAATGTACAGGTACAAGAGGGTGTTCTCCATAGGGACCAAGGCAATCACTACATACAACCCCAACACTCATGAAGTCACCAATCAGGTGAGGGGACGTGAAATATCCAGCCAACACTGGTAGACAACTCATGTTCATCTGTTTCCGTTGAGAAAGAATGCAACACTATGCAGTACTGTAAAGGCTCACAAGGGAGAGTATATGGGTCATTGGTCTGGGACCTCCCGATCATACTTGCTCTCTCTCCCTCTCTCTCCTCCTCCCTCCCTCCCTCTCCCTCCCTCCCTCCCTCCCTCCCTCCCTCCCTCCCTCCCTCCCCCCTCCGTCTCTGTCCCAGTGGTGTTACAATGAGTTTGTGGGTATTGCTCCTAGTCCCAAGGCCAGCAATGAATTCATCATCACCATGAAGAAAGGTATGCTACACCACTTCATCTCCACTAGCCTGGTTTTGCCTACTCTTTTATTCAACTATCCCTTGATTCATGCTTCCTGCACAATGGAATCCCCTCATATAAGGACACCTTTCCCCAAGAACAGTTCTTTGTATGCAATTTAACCCCTGAAAGTTCACTATAATATGGATATATACTTTCTTCTGTCCCACTGGTGTCCCAATTGGTTCCATGTTGTCCTTTCCTCAGGAAGGAAGACTCAGCAGATGACCTTCTCGACTGAGTTCAGACCTGAGGTCCTCACTCGCACTCTGGTCAGTCCACACCTCTGCATCTCATTGACTTCACATCCCTCCCTCCTCCAACTCACTTCTTGCTCCCTCCCTCCTCCAACTCACTTCTTGCTCCCTCCCTTTCTCTGCTCCCTCCCCTCTTTGTAAATGGGCACACACACAAGCACCTCATACCCATAATTATGTAGTTCATGACACCCCTCCCTCTCTCCCTTCTCCCTCACTTCCCCTCTTCCTCCTCCCTCTCTCCCTTCTCCCTCACTTTGCCCATTTCCCCTCTCCTCCTCCCTCTCCCCCTTCTCCCTCACTTCCCATTTCCCCTCTTCCTCCTCCTCCCTCTCCCCCTCTCCCTCACTTCCCCCATTTCCCTCTTCCTCCTCCCTCTCCCCCTTCTCCCCTCACTTCCCCATTTCCCCTTTCCCCCTCCCTCCCTCCCTCACTTCTCCCTTGCTCGCCCTCTCACACCTCTTTTCCCCCCCTCCCCTTCCCTCCTTGTCGGTGTGTGCAGATGTTCAGTCCGTTGTTCTGTGAGCAACCTCGAAATGAAACAGACAAGGTCAGCTATACATCCTTTGACTCCATACTTCCCCTAGTATGACTCCCTCTATGGTGTGTATATGTGTACAGAGGTTTGATGCAGCCAAGTTCCACTGGGACGAGGCCAAAGTCAAGGTCCTCCTAGTGGTGAGTGGAGAGAACGAGCTAGGCCTACAGAGTCCCTAGCCCTGGATTCCCTCCTTCCTCTTCCTGCCATCCTCTTATGTAAAACTCTGAATATGGGGCACCTTTGGGACATTATAAGTGTCCTTTATTCAGGGCGTCCCTTTTTTGCATGCACTGAAGTATAGTGTGGGGCAGAGGGCAGTACCAAGTGTCCTTTATAAAGAGGTGTCCGTTATTTGAAGGGTAAAGTGTTAGTATGGGGCAGACTTTAGAGAGGTGTCCGTTATTTGGAGGGTCACGTGACTAGTTTCCATTCACTCACTTCTATCTCTGCCCTTCATCGTTTGTCTTCTCTGGCAGGTTCGCAGGTACTGTGTGAGTCAGGTGGACATCACTGGCCACACTCTCACTGACTACAAGTACAAAGACATCGAGTACATGGCAAAGGTTCAGGTTACACTACACTCTTACTGTGTTATGTCCCTAACTGATGGGAGAATGAGTAGACCAAACAACAGTGGTGTGGGGAGAGTGTGACAGTGTGGAGTGTAGCTTACTAAGAAAATGTATGGCAGTGTGGAGTGTAGCTTGCTAAGAAAATGTATGACAGTGTGGAGTGTAGCTTACTAAGAAAATGTATGACAGTGTGGAGTGTAGCTTACTAAGAAAATGTATGGCAGTGTGGAGTGTAGCTTACTAAGAGAATGTAAGACAGTGTGGAGTGTAGCTTACTAAGAGAATGTAAGACAGTGTGGAGTGTAGCTTACTAAGAAAATGTATGGCAGTGTGGAGTGTAGCTTACTAAGAGAATGTGAGACAGTGTGGAGTGTAGCTTACTAAGAAAATGTATGGCAGTGTGGAGTGTAGCTTACTAAGAGAATGTAAGACAGTGTGGAGTGTAGCTTACTAAGAAAATGTATGGCAGTGTGGAGTGTAGCTTACTAAGAGAATGTGAGACAGTGTGGAGTGTAGCTTACTAAGAAAATGTATGGCAGTGTGGAGTGAATGATGTTCATACTGTACATCTGACTTCTTGTGTCATGTGTAATGGTGTTCAACAGGTTGCAGATCATCCGGGAGCCTTTGTTGTGGCTGCTGGCGGATTTGGACGACTGGTGAGTATGTATATAGAATAAGCTGAACACTTCCTTCCTCTCCCCCCCTCCCCTCCCTCCCCTCCCCTCCCTCCTCCCTCCTCCCCTCCCTCCTCTTCCTCCTACCTCCCTCCCTCCCTCCTTTCCTCTCCCTCCCTCCCTTCTCTCCTTTCCTCTCCCTCCCTTCTCTACCTCCTCCCTCCCTCCCTCCTATCCCTCCCTCCTCTCCTTCCCTCCCCTCCCTCCCTTCTCTACCCTCCTCCCTCCCTCCTCTACCTCCTCCCTCCCTCCTCTCCTTCCCTCCCTCCTTCCCTCCTCCTCTCCTTCCTTCTCCCCCTCCCTTCCACAGCACATGTTCCTGACAGAGCAGAGAGATAATGTCATGAAAGCCATAATCCTTGCCTCTCGCAGCAACTTGGATACGAGATAGCGTCAGTCACTCTCACACTCACTCCATTATATGCTGCACCACTTCTTACATTCTGTTGTCTGAGGTCAGGAGAGGTATATGTGTACATACATAGGAGGAATGTGAAACCAACAGGCGAGCTCATTGTCTAAGATTGGGAATTTAACTCGACCGAAGTAATTCTTCCTCCTCTCTCCTGACCACAAACAACTTAACATACACTCATCTACCATTACCAAAGGGATAAGATTGTCTCTTTCTTCTCCCCTCCCCTCTCCTCAGTGTTCACAGAGACCTCATCACACAGCATGACTTCCTGGAGAGGAGACTCGGCAAGTACAGGTATGACCTAATCCCATGGCCATCATTGTACACATACCACTGGTGCATGTAGATTTCACTTATCAATCCACACACAGTTTTCTCATTTTAAACAAGTAAATGAAGTGAAAAATTGTTCCCTAAGTGGGGAATATACAAAAATTAAAAAAATCGGTGTCTCTCATTTAACTGCTCTCCTTCCTGCTTTTTCACAGTGATGATGACTCCATTACGTCACTTACAGAGTTCAAAGTTCAGAAACACACTCCTAGATACCTGGTCAGTGGGTGATGATGTAATGTCGTGTGATCATCACATGACCATCATGTGTCAGGAGCCGGCTCCGAGGATCCTGGCCCTCTCAGAGAACTGTATAATAGAGAGAGACCCCTCCACTTACATTGTCGTTACCATACGACCACTCAGTGAGGTACAGTGTATATGTATAGTGTTGTATAGAGATGTTGTTAGTCTGATGTGATCTGTTGGTGTCTGTTGCCATGGTGATGTATGTGCAGGTGTTTGCTCTGATTCGCTACACCAATGATCCCCAGAGGTTCAGCATTGAGTACGTCAATGGCATCGTCAGGAAATACAGTGCTACTGAAAGGTGAGTTTCACTTCACCATGGAAATTTGAGCAGTACAGTGGAACTGGACACCAATGGGACAAAAGAAAGTGCCCGTGATAAGTTGGTGTCCTTTTTCAGGGGTTAATTGCGTGCAAGAACTGTTGTTCGGTAAGAAAAAATTTCCTCTTTAGAGAGGTGTCCTCGTTTTTGGGGTATCCTTTTGGAAGAGTTACACTGTGTGTGTAATGTTTGCTTATACTTTCGTATACACATCTCACCCCCCTCCTCCCTCTCTCCCCTCCTCCCCCTCTCCCCTCCTCCCCCTCTCCCCTCCTCCCCCCTCCTCCTCCTCCTCTCCCCTCCTCTCTCTCTGTCCCTGCCAGAGATGCCCTGCTGTGCAGTATCCTGGATGGAGTGAGGGCCAGTGGGAACAGAGACATCTGTGTGAAGATGACACGCACCAACCGAGGCCAGAGACTGGGGCCACTCCATCTGCCTGTGGAGGAGGAGGTGGAGAGCCAGTACCTCAAATACCTCGTCAACACTCCTCCATGTGAGTCATGTGACCTTCCCTGTGAGTCATATGACCTTCCCTGTGAGTCATATGACCTTCCCTGTGAGTCATGTGACCTTCACTGTGAGTCATGTGATCTGCTTTGAGTTACAATGTGATCCACGATGTAAGTAGTCTGACCTTCCCTTGTTAATCATGTGATCCTTCCAGTGAGTCATGCGACACCCTCTTATGACTCATGTCACCACAGTCATGTGACTCAAATCATGGTCGTAATACTCTGTCTATGTCTAATAGATTTCTTGCTCGATTCAGTAGTAAACACGCCTCCTATCCTCATTCTCTTCCCCCCAGCGGTGCAGTTCCATGAGGCAGTGGAGAAGTTCAACTCCAACGTGGCTTACAGTGGCCTCAACCATGCCGTGTCTTCTGAGGTCGGGCATTCGTGACAACTCTTTGTCCGTTTCATGTGAAATTTGCCGTTGATTCTCACTTCTCCCACTTTTTTCAGACCTCTTGGCCATAGGGCATAAATTTGTCGTGGGCTCTAAATTTGCGAGATTGTAAAAATCCCTATCCTGGTAAAATACATGGAACTGATGGAACTGATGCAGTATTCCACAAACTTGGTTTTGGTAAAATACATATTCAGTTGACATTTTATGCCTTGTAGGGTCTTCAGCTTCTCTTCTTTCCCCCCCTCCACACCCCCTCCCACACCCCCTCCCACACCCCTCCCACACCACTCCCCACACCGTCTGTACTCAGGTATATTTTCAGAGAACAAGGAGAAGCTCATCAACGGATCCCTCACCGCACTGCTGATGAAGGAAGGAGACCAGAGTTCCCTCCCAAATGACAGACTAGAAGAACAGTTCCATGCCCTCAGGAGACTAGTGGCCTCCAAGGCTGGCTACGGGGCCTTCACCTCCCTCACCAAGTGAGACGCTACCGTATTACTGGACATTTACTAGGGAGAAACACTTTAGTCATTTGGTAACAAACAATGTTGCTGGTCCCGGTCCGCAATACAAATATCCCCTAAATTTTCACAGATAAGATTGTCATTGACTGTTCAAAAATTGTGAAATTCACCCCCTCAAATGTTTCGCACTATGCGGTGTGTGTGAGCTATGTATGTAGTCCTGAACTTACTGCTACTGTACCTTGGCTGTAAGTGCATGTGATATCTAGTATGCCGTGCTTACTATGGTAGACTTAGCACACCGTACTTATTTCTCCTTGTCTATATAGCCTCTTAGTTTGACAGCTAGTAGGCTGCAAGTCCATTAAATCTACATATCGTTTGAGACCCAGTGACTATACGCTCGTAAGGACTTCAGTCACACATATATGTATACGTAAGCCCCGTCAAAATTGGAAACCGCTTTACAAATCGCGTCCCGTTTACACATCCATTTCCCATTCATGATTTAGGCTAAATTGGTTTACGAACTGGTTCAACGTTTCCATGTAAACGGGGCTGTAGATGTTATGGTGAACTGTCTACAAGTACACTTGTTTTCATCCGCCCATTGGTTGTGCATGGAAATGAACGCCAAGAGTGAACATACATATATACATACTTCAGTAAGCGCAGTTTGAACTCTGTCATATTTAGCAAACACATTTTCATGTGCGTGTAACCCATATCCCCCTCTCTCTCTCTCTCTCGTCCCAGTTTCCGGGAGATAGTTGGGAAGAAGGTGGTTCGAGCCCTCCGCAGGAAGGACGACGGGATCAGCCATGCCTGTGTGGACTTCCTGTGTGCCCTCATGCAGCCCATGCACGACAACTACGACCTGAGACAGGAGCAGATGAACAAGTCCTCTCTCCTCTCCAGCAAACCGTTCCTGGAGATGGTGCTGGAACCTCTCAAGACACACGTGGTGGGTAAGACCACACCACTGGTACAATGTAGACCTCACTGCACTCTAGTGGATATGATTCTCTGATATTGGACCCAGTTTACGAAAGGCCAACATTTATACTGTAGCACAACTTTGAAGTGTGAGACAAAAGTCTCATGCAACTTCAATGTATGAGTATAGTAGAAATGATGATTCTCCTATTCTAGACCAAGTTTACTAAAAGCCTATTTACTTTGTTGCGTGTTACACCGCAAAAACCTGTCCTTGAAACTGCAAAATTAACGAAGTCCGCTGGCAAACTTTAGTGATGATGTGTTGCACAGGGAGAGTGGGGGAGTGGGAATTAATGATGTAATTAGGGAGTGAGAATTGATGATGTAATTAGGGAGTGAGAGTGATGTAATGTTCGGTGGATAAGAGCCAACGTTTATTTCTCCGCAGCAACTTGGGACGGGAGCACTGGTAGTCAGCTCCATCCTCGATTTCTTCACATTTGCCGTCTGTCCTCCCTACAGGTTTGTACTGTACATACAGTACATACACACTATAAAGGGACTAATATTTACAATGCACTTTCTGTTTAAAGTATATTCATACATGTACGCTGTGTGAGTGTGGTGCTCTTGTACTGATGTATTATCTTACTTCAGTGAGACAACTGAAGCAGAGAGTTGACATGGTTTGAGCTCATTTCTGGTCTGTCTCCATTATAACACATACATACAGTACATCTCCGTATATGTTGCAGTGCCCAGACAGGACAGCATGAGCCCTGTAAGGGCAAATGCTGTCCTGTCTGGGTACTGCAACAGATTTGTTGGATATCCCTTAGGCAAATGACATGTAGCATATGAACCCTGCTTGCACATGTAGGATTGTATAGGCTGATACAATCCCCAGTACCTAGCTTCATACATGCGGTTGCCTAGGGATATCCAACAAATTATAATTGTACATACAGTACTCATCATCTGTATGTCATTGTATTCCCTGTAAATACTCTCCCTACTTTACAATAGTCATGGTTTGTTGAAGGGTGCTGCAAACTTGGAAGTAAAATAATAAGTTTACCACTGGTAGTGGTGTGTATAATGTTAAATATTCTCTCCCTCTGCAGGTCTGGGAAGAACAGTGTTCAAACTCTTTCAGGTATTAAACGTAATCGGGAATAGGAATAAGATCACACATTGCTTTGCAAATTGAACCACAAACACCTACAACCTCGACAACCTGCTGAGCTCAGCTAGTTGAGCGCTCACCTAGACTGCAGACTGTCCTGGGTTCGAATCACACCCAGGGCAACTATTTTTTCCTTGTAGTTGAGTCGTTTTATGCCATGCAGCCTGTTGTTAACACATGTGCAATAGCTCTTTACATTTGCTCAGTCATTCTTTGTTGATTTTCTCTTCCTCAGCACCCTTCGCTGGCCATCGTGAAGGCGGCTGGACTTATCATGAAGGCCATCATTGAGGTGAGCATTACATCATCATTACATCACTGTCTGTCCATGTGTGTTGGGTGTGGTCTGTCCAGGAGGGGACGCCGGAGATGGCGAAGAAGATGCAGGACCTGGCACTGGCAGAGGGAGCTCTCCCGCGGCACCTCCACACCTCCCTCTTCACCGCTTCCAGTGACAACAGACTCCTCACTCACAGGTCAGAGGTCAATTCATGACCACACCCCTCTATCGACATGTGTAAGGCTAGAGCAAGCTCACATTGAAACCCTGGCTTGTACAGGTTAACCAGCTTGTATGTAGACACCACCAACACACACAATGTACATAAGGAAGCAGCTTCACAGCTGATGTGCAGTGAGGATTACACTTGGTTTGCAAATGTGTGTGTGTGTGTGTGTGTCTGGTTTTTTGCAATGTGCAGCAGCTGGATTGGCCAGCCCATCAATTAGCAGTGTGGTAACTAGTCTTCTGTGGGGGGTTTTCTATGTACATCTGTCTTATTGTAACAGGCACTGCACATAATTATCGTAATGTTACATGATTCTAAATACGCACTAAAATTGAGTTACACCAGCCAGTATGCTCACAGTTTTGGCTATCATTGAGTGTGATTGACACACTGGGTAATGTGATTGGTCAGTCCTACAATCAGACCACTTGTTTCAATATTCATGATCTCACTAGAATCTCCAAATAAGGTCTGGTATGCAATAGGGCTGCAGATCTAAGGCTGTAAAAATTAGTAGAGTGACAGAAAAGTCAAGGGCTGTTTCCTGTCAGCCTCAGTTTCACCCATTTCTTGAAGTTAGCCCACCGCCTTTGCTTGCTTCTTTCTTAAGCAGCTTGCTTGCCTCAGTCTTCACTAGACCCACTCTCTAGCTTGTCTGCTGCACTACTGACAGAGCCATGGCTGCCAAACCCTCCACTGCTGCCGAGAAAGCTCTCCAGAAGATCCAGGACCAGGTCACCTGTGGGATATGTCTGGAGCCCTACAAACAGCCGAGGCTGCTCAAGTGTTTCCACGTGTATTGCGAGCAGTGCCTGCAACGTCTGGTACGTAGGGGACGAGAGGGACAGAGTCTCCCATGTCCACAATGTCGCCAGGACACTCCACTGCCAGTGGGCGGAGTCCCGGGGCTCCAAGGAGCCTTCTACATCCACTACCTCTTTGACATCCAAGACGCCCTAAAGAAAGTGAGCTCCAGCGACCAAACCATGTGCAACAAGTGCAAGAAGTTTGAAGCTGTTTGTTTTTGTCGCACTTGCGGGTTTGCATGCCAGCGCTGCAAAGAAATTCATCAAGATTGGTATGAATTGAAAACCCACGAATTTATCGACCTAGACACCTTGACTGGAGATCTCGTTCCTCCTCTCAAGAAGACTCTCTTTTGTGCCACTCATCCGTCAAAGAAGGCAAAGCTCTATTGCGAGACGTGTGACGAGTTGATATGTCGAGACTGCACCGTTCGTGTTCATCGCGACCACCAGTACGATCTGGTGCCCGAGTCGTTTGCCAAGCAAGAGAAAGTGATCGTGGACTCTATCAAGGCAGTGGAAGAACAGATTGCTACTCTAGAAAGAGCCGTTGAGTCGGTTGACACGCAATGTGCTGCAGTCGTAGAACAGAAGACTGCTGTGGTGGCAGATATCCGGACTGCCATGGCACACCTGCGACAAGCTCTAGAAGCGAGGGAGACAGAGCTGGTGGGTCAAGCTGAGCAGACGGCGCAGCAGAAACTGAAGACCTTGGCAGCACAGCGAGACGGGTTTGAATTGCAACTGGGCCAGCTGAGGAGCTGCCAGGACTTTGTGGAGGAGAGCCGACGTACTTGCAGCCAGGGGGAGATTCTGAGGACAAAGAGTCCTCTCGTGAAACAAGTCAACGACCTGACAGGCAGCTTCAAGCCAGAGACATTGGCTCTTGCCGAGCAAGCCGACATGGTGTTTGCTCACAATCTGCCTGAACTGGTGAAGACTTGCCAGCAGTTTGGTAAGGTGTACTGTCATCCAGTGTACCCTGAGAAGTGTCGAGCCTCAGGTGAAGGCATCAAGGTAGCCACGAGAGGGCAAACAGTAGCTGTCTCTGTAGGGGCTTTAGATAGGGAGGGAGAAGCCTACCTCAGACCTGTAGACAGCTTGAGGTGTGAACTAGTTGCTAGCGATGGCAGCAGTCGAGTCAGGGGCACTGTGAAGAGAAGAAATCAAAACATCTACGACATCAGCTACCACCCTCAGGTCGCTGGGGAACATCAACTACACATTCTAATAGAAGAGCACCCAATCTTGAACAGTCCATTCAAAGTCACCGTTCTACCCAACTTCACTGCCCCAACCAACATCACTGGAGACCTTAATGCACCATATGGTATAGCAGTTAGGGAGGGAGGAGAGGTTGTAGTAGCGGAACGGAGTAGTCACTGCATATCAATCATCAGTGAAAATGGAGAAAAGAAATCATTTGGTACTGGTGGCTCAGGTCCTGGTCAGTTTACCGTCCTGAAGGTTTAGCAATAGACAATGGAGGAAACATTCTTGTGACTGACTTTGAAAACAGTCGTATTCAGCAGTTTTCATCCGCTGGCAAACACCTCAGAACAGTCGGTACACTGGGCAGTGGACCTCTTCAGTTCCAGTATCCTGGAGGTATTACAGTTCATCCTCACACTGGCAAGGTGTATGTTGCTGACTATGGCAACCACAGAATTCAGGTTCTGAACTCTGACCTCACACACTCCAGTAGTTTTGGTAGGAAGGGCTCTAACATTGGAGAGTTCAGTTATCCTTATGATGTAGCTACAGACAGCGATGGCAATGTGTATGTAGCTGATCACGACAACCACAGAATCCAGGTCTTCACAGTCGATGGGGTCTACTTGAGGCAGTTTGGGAAGAAGGGAGAAGGAGAGGGAGAACTAAACGAACCAGTCAGTATCGCTGTTGACTCTGGCAATGTAGTGTATGTTGGTGAACTAAAGAACAATCGTATAACAATATTCTCTACTGATGGAGAGTTTATCAAGTCATTTGGAAGAAAGGGAAAAAGTCCTGTGGAGTTTGATTGTCCATATGGACTAGCAGTAGACAAGAAAGGAACAGCGTATGTCAGTGATTATGGGAACCATCGTATACAGATCTTCACCTAATAACACAACAACACAAAAACCCACTTGTACTTCGGTTGTGCTTGTTTGTACATATTATATTGTGATCGTATAGACTCTTGTACTCAGTCAATTGACTGACTTAGTTGTCTGAACAGTGCTGAAACTTACGTCGTCTCACTGCATATTCATTTAGACTATGCACTGCGAATGGGCAATCACACACCACAACAAAAGTAGCTGTTATAAAAAATTTAACCTTCGGTCTGCATGTGCAGCGGGGGTTACAGTACTTGGTCTGTGTCTGTGTGTGTCGATTGGCACTACAGGATAAGCGATACCACTGGCTTTATACCACTAGTGTGTAATTTAACAATTTTCCTGAAAGGACTGCGTTTAAAAGATGAGCCATGAATAATAAGTGAAAATGAATCCTGGCCACTGCGCATGCTGGCCTTGGTGTGCGGAGTCCCGCCCCCATGTATGACTTGTTGGGTGACTGGCTTACCTCGACTTGATCAGCTTGGTGTACCTTGGCATCTCGAGCTACTAGCGGGAGACGGCGAGTAATGCATATTAATAGCCCAGCCCATCAATTAGCAGTACCACGCATGCGCAGTTCGCCGAGGGTTTCCATTTCAGTCCTTTTTCATTTAAATATGTAGCCCTCAACCTTCTACATCACATGCACTGCACATACAAATACACAAAGTATCTGTTTTGTCTATTTGTCCTTGTTATTGGCGAGCGAAGCAAACCACTCCCCCTTGCCTGCTGGACCAAGTCTGTGTACTTAACAGTCTCTCTGTCTGCAGCCTCCTCAAAATTCACTCTCTCTCTCTCTCTCTCTGCAGACAGCTGAGTCGTCACCTGGTGGGACTCTGGGTCACTGGGAACCCCACTGCTAATGCCCTCCTCCACAGAGTACTGGTATATACCCCTCTCTCTCATTATATATATAACCTTCTTGAGTGGCATACACCATACACAAAAAGGGAGGATGACTGACAGTACGTAGAGAAACCTACAAATACACTGTGCAGTGGTACTGCCCTCATCAGGCTAAAAAATATAAATGAGCTACTAAAAGAGTAAGAGCGGGCGACTAAGTTAGTTTGGCGTTTCTCCGACACCAGATCTTGTATGATTCCTGGATCACTAGGTAGCTGACGCGAGTCAGAAACTGTGTAAGGACCCGCTTACCGATGTTGAGTTCATGCTTGAGATGTGAAAAGCCGGCCTGGTCAACAATACTATAATATCCTACAGCCACTGGGTCTAGTGCTCTATAATATCCTACAGCCGCTGGGTCTAATGCAGTACCTCAAGTCCAATGAGAAAGTTCCGGAAGAGGCAGACCGCATGCATGTCAGAGACAACCTCAAGGCCGTACAGGTACACAGTGCAATACGTCGTCTTCATTTCTTCATTCTTGGTTAGCTACTTTCTATTGTACAATTTCTCACCTACCTGTCTCTCTGACAGTCACCAGCCACCATCTTGGTTGGTAATTGGTGGTGAACCATAAGTTAGCCGGCCACTTACTAATACATCAGTATAATTATTGGACCGTGTCCCCAAAGTGTCCCTTATTCAGCAGTTTCACTGTATAGGTAGGGTGGCAAGTATGTTGTTTAAAGGAAACGTGTCAGTACATACATAATGGCTGTAGCAATTAGGGCCAAGTGCAAAAATGCAATTATTTTTAGTAACAGTTTCTAAATTTAGCCCTTACTTACATATTGTCACATTACCTTTACTGTCTCCTTTGGCCCCAGACCCTGTCCAGCGAAGGATCAACAAACTGGAGTTGACACTCATCCTCTGGAGAACCAGACTGCGCTCAAAACCACAGAGAGACACAACTGCCCAGCGACCGGTGACCTTGAGGAAGAGATGACAGCAGATCAAGACGGAAGATAACTGGCCTCTCTTCTACTACCAGTTCAACGAGGACCACTCACTGTCTACCCTCATCTGGAACTACAAGGTTCCTACAATGTTTTTAACAACTCACCTACATCTTTTACAAAAACCCGATTGATGTGTGATCGATTTTTTGGGAAAGGTTTTATTTGTAGTAGTTGGTATGAACGCTGCGTCAAAAATGCAGTAGATATCATCTGTACTCCATCACCATACCACATAGCAGTACAATTACTATGTATACATGTATTGTGACTTGCGTGGGCAGATCAAAGTTGCCGTGCATACTTTTATTTTCCGTATTGTAGTCGCATTCAATATGGCCAATATTGAACGTTCAATACAAAAATTATTAAACTATCATCAGTATCGTACCCATAGTGTAGACAAAAACTGTTCTGTAGAGGCTTTAGAGGCGAGGGATGGCTGAGGCGACCACACCCCTTCATTCAGCTGCCAGTGGCAAGCGAGACCGTGGCCGCGGCACACCGACCGGTCAAATGGCCCAGCGACCTATGAAACGAGTTTCTCTGAGGGAGAAAGAGCCACCATCACGACCTTGTTCGATTATGGTAACCTCGAGAACAGAGAACTCGCTCGAGAAGCCAGCAAGTGCGCACGTGGGCATGGGTAGTAGGCTACGCAGTTGTATTTCTCTCGCTGGAAGTCGACGACTGCTACAAAGTCACAATAAAACACATAATGTGCGTCCTATCGTTCTATACATGACTAGAAAAGTCGACCACACCCCCGTTCCCATAAATCACGTATAGAACTCTAAACGCACATTATCTCATACTAAAAGTACTCCTTATACATGTGATTTGAGTGGTTTTAGTTGTCGTTACCTCGTTTCCTCACTCACACACTTCACCCCTCTCTCCCCTCTCCCCTCTCCCATCTCTCCTCTCTCCTCTCTCCTCCTCTCTCCCTCTCGCCCTCTCCTCTCCTCCCCTCCCCCATCTCCCTCTCTCCCTCTCCCTCTCCCTCTCTCGCTCCTCTCATCTCCCTTCTCTCCCCTCTCCCATCTCCTCTCTCCCAGGCTACCTAAGGGAGCTCACCAAACTGAACGTCCAGTCCAATCGCATCGTTAGTCTCCCCAGGGGCCTCGGGGTGAGTCCGTTACCAAGGAAACAGTAACCACGGTGATGTTACATAACCACTCCATCTCCACGTTGTTACTGAACCTCCAACACCTCAGTGCAGGGGAGAACAATCTACTGGAGATACCAGCTGAGATAGGTCTGCCCCTCCCCTCTTTCCTCCCTCCCTCCCTATATACCTCATTTTTAATTTGCCAGCAAAGTCAGCCTAACTAGTCGTCTGGATGCTAGATGACGGGCACTCCTATACAGTAATATTCTACGTCATTCTACATACCCACATAAATTGAACGTCATTCTAAGCTAAATACACGTGATAAATTGAACTGCTCGCACTCACTCGCCAATAATGTGTTCCTTTGTTCTAGTGTATATTTCCTCCCCCTCACCCCACCCCAGGTACTCTGGAGAACCTGGAGGAGCTGTACATCAACGACAACCCCAACCTGCAGTCCCTGCCCTATGAACTGGCCCTCTGCAAGAAGCTTGCCCTCATGAGTGTGGAGGGCTGTCCGCTCACAAGACTCCCTCCACACGTCGTCGACGGGGGACCCTCCTCAATTATCCAGGTACTTTTTATCGCCTCAGTTTCTGTGTTAATGAATCAAGTATATAGAACACACAATACTGCATATTATTATAGGTTAGTTGCAGTATGGCTACTACATGCCTGGACACTGCTTGGTGCATTCTTATTGGCTGTTGCACGTCAAATAATTATACTAAAAAGACGCTCCAAATAAAGGACTTCTCTATAAGGGACAATTCGTTCTGCCTCATGTACTGTATATTAGTGCATCTCTAGGAATTCTTCCAAAAAAGGATGGCCTCTGAATAACAATGGCCTGGAGTTGGTATTACTTTTAGGGTGTTTAGCTAAGTTTTTGCATTGAAAATTAACCTCTCCTCTCCTCTCTCTTCTTTCTCCCCTCTTACAGCATCTCAAGTATATACCAGGGTCCTTATCGTGGCCTACACTGATTTGAACTTTGCACCCTGTTGCATGCCTACTACTGTGTGAATCACAACAACACGAATGATATTATTTGTTATTGAGTTTGTAACTATCTATTCTGCACCCTTTTGTTTAGTTAGTTTTTTCACCCTCAAATAGTACTTTTTGTACCGCTGGTGTGCGATTCAATCATGTAACATGTCCATTATTAGATACATACATGATTATGATCGATTTCTTGTTTATACTGCGCATGCCTATGATAGGACGCAGTGTATTGTAGCTCTTGCTACATCATTGTTGACACTTTACCTAAACACCAGTGGGGTCCACTCCACTCTTGAACTTTTTCTTTGGGCAAACACCTATGCCAATTTGCTGCAGGGTGACAGTGTGTATAATATTTCAGAGCGACCTTTCCTTGTGCAACGTAAGAGAATGGTTTCAACCATTAAGCGTAATGATGACATAATATTTTTCAAAGAGCTCATGATTAGTTCATTTGAAGGGCCTGGGAACTGAGTTACGCAGGAGACCACAGACATAATATAGCAATGACTGAATTTCCACTAGTTAGTCTTTTGGACTTTCTCGACTCCTTTCTTTTTTCACTCCGCAGTTCTCGCAGCTCTTTATCCTCGCAAGAATACATTTGCTTGGAATTTTCGTGTGACTGTTTAGTGCGTTGAAGCTGCTCGTTCCAAGAGTTTGTGTGCGAGTGTTTTTGATCTTCGTCCCTTCAAGGTTTTCACGTGATTATAGAGATGTTGTTAGTCTGATGTGATCTGTTGGTGTCTGTTGCCATGGTGATGTATGTGCAGGTGTTTGCTCTGATTCGCTACAACCAATGATCCCCAGAGGTTCAGCATTGAGTACGTCAATGGCATCGTCAGGAAATACAGTGCTACTGAAAGGTTGAGTTTCACTTCACCATGGAAATTTAAGCAGTACAGTGGAACTGGACACCAATGGGACCAAAGTGCCCATGATAAGTTGGTGTCCTTTTTCAGGGGTTAATTGCATGCAAGAACTGTTGTTCGGTAAGAAAAAAGTTTCCCCTCTTTAGAGAGTGTCCTCGTTTTTGGGTATCCTGTGTGTGTGTAATATTTACTTATACTTTCGTATACACATCTCCCCCCCCTCCTCCCTCCTCCCTCTCCCCTCCTCCCCCTCCTCCTCCCCCCTCCTCCTCCTCCTCTCCCCTCCTCTCTCTCTGTCCCTGCCAGAGATGCCCTGCTGTGCAGTATCCTGGATGGAGTGAGGGCCAGTGGGAACAGAGATATCTGTGTAAAGATGACAACGCACCAACCGAGGCCAGAGACTGGGGCCACTCCATCTGCCTGTGGAGGAGGAGGTGGAGAGCCAGTACCTCAAATACCTCGTCAACACTCCTCCATGTGAGTCATGTGACCTTCCCTGTGAGTCATGTGGCCCCTCCCTGTGAGTCATGTGACCTTCACTGTGAGTCATGTGATCTGCTTTGAGTTACAATGTGATCCACGATGTACGTAAGTAGTGTGACCTTCCCTTGTTAATCATGTGATCCTTCCAGTGAGTCATGCGACACCCTCTTATGACTCATGTCACCACAGTCATGTGACTCAAATCATGGTCGTAATACTCTGTCTATGTATAATAGATTTCTTGCTCGATTCTGTGGTAAACGTGCCTCCTATCCTCATTCTCTTACCCCCAGCGGTGCAGTTCCATGAGGCAGTGGAGAAGTTCAACTCCAACGTGGCTTACAGTGGCCTCAACCATGCAGTGTCTTCTGAGGTCGGGCATTCGTGACAACCCCTTGTCCGTTTCATGTGAAATTTGCCGTTGATTATCACGTTTTCACTTTTTTCAGCCCTCTTGACCATAGGGCATAAATTTGTCATGGGCTCTAAATTTGCGAGATTGTAAAAATCCCTATCCTGGTAAAATACATGGAACTGATGGAACTGATGCAGTATTCCACAAACTTGGTTTTGGTAAAATACATATTCAGTTGACATTTTATGCCTTGTAGGGTCTTCAGTCTCTCTTCTTTCCCCCTCCACACCCCCTCCCACACCCCCCTCCCACACACACACACACACCGTCTGTACTCAGGGTATATTTTCAGAGAACAAGGAGAAGCTCATCAACGGATCCCTCACCGCACTGCTGATGAAGGAAGGAGACCAGAATTCCCTCCCAAATGACAGACTAGAAGAACAGTTCCATGCCCTCAGGAGACTAGTGGCCTCCAAGGCTGGCTACGAGGCCTTCACCTCCCTCACCAAGTGAGACGCTACCCGTATTGCTGGACATTTACTAGGGAGAACACTTAGTAATTTAATAACAAACAATTTTGCAGGTGCTGGTCTAGCAATACAAATATCCTCTCAATTTTCACAGATAAAATTATCATTGACTGTTCAAAAATTGTGAAATTCACCCCCTCAAATGTTTCGCACTATGCGGTGTGTGTGAGCTATGTATGTAGTCCTGAACTTGCTGCTACTGTACCTTGGCTGTAAGTGCATGTGATATCTAGTATGCTGTGCTTACTATGGTAGACTTAGCACACCGTACTATTTCTCCTGTCTATATATGTTTTTAACATTTTTACTCGCAGCAAGTCCATTAAATCTACATATCGTTTGAGACCCAGTGACTATACGCTGTTTAGGACTTCAGTCACACATTGTATATATACAGTACGTAGATGTCATGGCGAGCTGTCTACAAGTACACTTGTTTTCAACTGCCCATCGGTTGCACATGGAAATGAGCGCCAGTGGGGAACATACATGTACATATATACATATATACATATATACACTTGCAGTAAGTACAGTTTGAACTCTGTCAGATTTAGCAAGGCCTTCCCCTGTTAATCATGTGACCCTCTAACCCTTTCCCTCCTCTCTCTCTCTCTCGTCCCAGTTTCAGGGAGATAGTTGGGAAGAAGGTGGTTCGAGCCCTCCGCAGGAAGGACGACGGGATCAGCCATGCCTGTGTGGACTTCCTGTGTGCCCTCATGCAGCCCATGCACGACAACTACGACCTGAGACAGGAGCAGATGAACAAGTCCTCTCTCCTCTCCAGCAAACCGTTCCTGGAGATGGTGCTGGAACCTCTCAAGACACACGTGGTGGGTAAGACCACACCACTGGTACAATGTAGATATACTGAACTCTAGTGGAAATGATTCTCTGATTTTGGACCCAGTTTACGAAAGGCCAACATTTATACATAGTGCAAGTTTGAAGTGTTAGACAAAAGTCTCATGCAACTTCAATGTATGAGTATAGTGGAAATGATGATTCTCCCATTTTAAGGCTCACTTACTTTGTTGCGTGCTACACCGAAAAAACCTGTCCTTGAAACTGCAAAATTAATGAAGTCCGAGGTGTGTAGGATACTTGTACTCTAGTAGTTCGACCGCATTATTAGACTGGGTATTATGTTTTCTAGAATGTGGCTATGATGGCCTGGAGTCTATTTCAATAGTTAGGGAGGGAGAATTAATGATGTAATTAGGGAGTGAGAATTAATGATGTAATTAGGGAGTGAGAGTGATGTAATGTTCGGTGGATAAGAGCCAACGTTTATTTCTCCGCAGCAACTTGGGACGGGAGCACTGGTAGTCAGCTCCATCCTCGATTTCTTCACATTTGCCGTCTGTCCTCCCTACAGGTTTGTACTGTACATACACTACATACACACTATAAAGGACTAATATTTACAATGTCACTTTCTGTTTAAAGTATATTCATACATGTACGCTGTATATGTGGTGCTCATTGTACTGATGTAATTATCTCTATTTCAGTGAGACAACTGAAGCAGAGAAGTTTGACATGGTTTTGGAGCTCATTTCTGGTCTGTCTCCATTATAACAGTACATCTCCATTATAATACATACATACAGTACTCATTCATCTGTATTGTCAATTGTATTCCCTGTAA